GTTTTTTATCCATTGGATAGAGTTATCCACCCTTCATAAACCTGACGCCGGAGTATACATGTGTCACAAAGTTACGCATAAGACTAAGAAAATGACTCACACTACTTTCTTTCCCTCAGGATGTCATACGTAGTGGTTCCTTCTTGTATTTCTTCCGCCTCCATTAGATAATAAAATTATTTCTCGGAAAAAACTCGAATTGGGCTGCACTTGGCCATGTAGTAATTATGCAAGTTATTTCGTACGCATACGTACGTTAACCGCATCTTCGTAATGTGCCATAAGGCCACCGAGTTCAAACCTCTCTATTTCGTTCAGTTTTCTCGATTTTACGGTCTTGATGTTGCGTTAAGAATTGTTAAGTTTAGGGTTAGTTTTCTCGAAGCCTTCGTGAAGGTATTTTGATTAAAAGGTTTGATTTTACATGGTTTGTCACAGTTCGCAACAACAAAAACAAAAACATGGGTAATCATTGATTACGCGACTCGATACATGCCCAAAAAACTAAAAGCTTAATTAAGTTTGCATTTAAAAATTGCTCCGAATCAGTAGAAATTATTGACAAACCGTGAAATTTTATTTACTGCATGTCCATCGTTAGTATTTTGAATGCCAGACATAACATTACTATCAAAGCGTTTGTCAAGTACGCTGAAAGAAATCTTCCCCTTATATATGAACGTAATATAGATAAGAAATGGACACATTGCAATCTAAAAAATATTTGTTTCCTTCCCTTATTAAAAATGAGTACAAGTATAAAACTACACCAATGTCGATATTTTGATCCAATTCTGGGCCAACAGTTGAGATTTGTTTGCAAGAGGGCTGTAATGAATAGAAACCATACACGAGTTTGTGCCAGGATAAATCTTTGCCACGCAAGATGGAGACTGATCGCTAAAGACATTAATTTCTAATCAAAACTTGTGACTCTTCTGCAAAAAACACTCAATTTTTATGAAAGTCACGAGATAGTCTTGTGATTATTACTCAATCGATTTCGGATGCTACATGTAAAAGCCTATCCCCTTTTAGTTTGACCCTTCAGTGCTCCTTGCCTTTTCAGTACATTGACTTAGTATCCTAGTTTTCACATTATACCAAAAGTAGGAGACATAAACTTATTTTATCTAGGCGCAAATAAATCAATTATTAGGAAAAATCAAACAAGAGAGTTTAACGGTTTGCGGGCTTAACTTAATTGACTTAATTTCTTAACCTTAAGTTAGGGATTCTGAAAAAATATGGCAATAGAATTTATCATAAAGTCAGACGTGTAAATCAAGTGAGGCCAGCTAGGTATGCTACGATTGTTTAGTTTTCCGAGCTTTCGCCCATTTACGGCATCATCAAAATTACTGCGGTTAAGAATAAACGTCTTCAAAGATGAGAGGTCGTTGTCGGCGAAAAAGGAAATTGTTTTTTACTGGAGGGAATAAGCGATGCGAAACACGAGATCAGTAGGTCGAGTTCCAGTTTGTTTCAGAAAAACTCAAAGGTTTTTGAGCTGCCACTCCTCGCTATTCCCAAATACAAACACGGTCACAGTTTTTTCAACAGTAAAATTTTCTACAGTGATGTCTTCGGCTGGTCTAACCGACTAGTCATGATATTTTTCTGTAACTGCGCATCCCACGGAATCGCCTTCAGGCGTCTGCTACGTATTTGAACATCAGTAAGATCAAAATTTTTCCATGACGTATGCAAATTTGAATTCGGACCAAATTTCCCATACCTTTAAAACTTAGTTTACGTTATGGGAAAGTCTAGTGTTTTTAGTTTAGTTTGCTAGTTTCCCCCATTATTGTTGTTCTTTCCGCGAGAGTTCAGTTTGTGCGCGAAAACTTATCGTCACGCTTAGCTCAGCGCCATTCCGGTAGCTTCAAGTTTTAGTCACTTTTTTTTATTAACTAGCTCTGCTGCATATTTGAACATCGGAAACATCGACATTTCGCCATGCCGTGAGCAAATGTGTAACTTTCAGTTGATTTCGCACCAAATTACTCAGAGCATTACTACTTAGCTAAAGCGCAGTCTGGCTATTATTTTAC